AGATTTTGTAATTCTGTTCTATATCGATTAGCATGAATACATGAAATGCATAGATCATTCTGATTATGACTTAATTTATATAAAAATGTATAAAATATGATAAGACCTAATTGAAATGGTGTAATATCTTGTGAAGAAGCATAATCAAGAAATGAATGTATTAAATCATTATCAAATGGAATATCAATAAGATGAGCAAAACCTGAATGTTGATCAGTTAATAAACGATGCCGATCAAAAGGTAATATAATACGACGTTCGAAATTCAATCCATCAAGATGTGATTGCCAGAAATGATAAGATGATATTATATCCATTTGTTTTTCATAAACTGAATAATCAATGTATTGAAATTGATTTTCATTATTTATTAATGTACTATCATTTTCTAAATTATATTTTACATCACTAAAAAATATTCGTCGTGAAGCACCATCAAAAGCAATATGATGAAGATTAAAAATAATAATATCATTATTTTGTAAGCATATTTCTTCATCTTTTCTCGTAGAATTATATTTAATTATGTGACATCGTAATACAATGCCTCGATTACGATCAAATAATTTTGAACTTGTAATTTCTCTATTAATTATTTTTGTTATTTCTTCATCATTTTCAACATAACTAATTACAAATTCATATTGATTTCTATAATTAAATTGTTGAATATATTGAACTAAAACATTTGTATTTATATTCCAATCTAATGATGCTCGAAATATAGCATGTTTAGCAATAATTGTATCAATAGCTTGACGTAATCGATCAATTGTAATCTGTTGAATGTTAAAATTAGATATAATACAATAAACTAAAGGAACATTATATACAGATGTTTCATTTGAAAAACGAATAGTCTGATCAACAAAAATACGTTGTTAACCATAGGATGCTTCAGCTAAAATAAACAATAGATTTTATATATATGTATAGAGGGAGAAAAAAATAAAATTATAGGTTACCTTAAGAAATATTTAGAGTTGACTATAATTGAGTTGGTTGATGAGTTTGAGAAGAAGTATGATCAAGCCATTGTTGAAGAATTTGAGTATGTTCAGCAATAGTTGGTTGACGAAATAAAGAAGCAATATTAAATGATGACGAAGATTTAGTATCAAGAGAAAATTTTATTTGATATTGTGCAAAGAGACGCATTATAGCTAATGAATTACCACCCAATGAGAAAAATGAACGATTAATAGGTATTTTTGAGTCTACATCCAACTATAATATATCACACCAAAGATCATGTACAAGTTGTTGTTCATTTGTCATTGATATTTCATTGTCTTGATCATTAGAAATTTCATCATTATTTATTGGTAAAAGTAATGA